GGTCCCAAAAAACAACAACGGGGCTGCAGTTCTTGTCTCTAGGATGTGTTAGAGGTTCTAAGTAGAAGTTTTAGAGAGGCTTAGCTGACCGGACTACCACTACTACTACTACTACTACTACTACGACTTCTACTACCACTACTACTACTACTACTACTACTAGTATTACTTCTACTACTACTCCTCCTCCTACGACCACTACAACAACGACTACTACTAGTACTAGTACCACCAGTACTAGCGCCAGCACAAGCTCTACCACTACTGGTGAAAGTACATGTTGGCTGGTTGTTTTCGGGGCGGGTCAAAAACCAACGACGGGGCTGCAGAGTTTGTTTCCACCCCCTTGTAGAGACAAAGGAACAAGATGTGCTGTAACGGGGCTGCAGTTTTTGGTTGTATGTTGTATTTGTTGTTGTTGTTGTTGTTGTGAAATGTATGTGGACTTCCTCCTGACGGCATGGAGTAGTATGTGAATGTTGGCGGCATGAAGTAGGTCAAACTATTCCTTCTTTCGGTATATCATAACCTAAGTCACCACCAAAAATACTTGCCCCAGTTATGAAAGTCGATCTTCCTCTACGCAGGCATGAAAGGACATAGAAATCCCAGACATGGGGTGATGTCGCAGAAAAGCGAACATGTTCAGGTGCTTCAATCTCAGTCTTGCTGAATCCATGTATACCAATTGCCAAGCGATCCAAAATCATCCCTGACCTGACATAACGGCTGATCGAGCATGAGAGGGTAGAGCACAGGTTCCCCAACATACATGAGACTTAGAGAGTATGCTTGCAACAGAGGGTAGAGCGTAGAGCGGTGAATCAAGACGAACTGACCAGGTTCGTTGCAGCTTCCATAACCCCAGTTTACCCAAAGCAGCGAAAACAGTCTGAAGAAAATCTTATCACACATATAATCACCCGGATTTGATGGATCATGATGGATCCTTTGAACAGCTCTTGGATGCAATGGATCAGCTTTCCATCGCTGTGAAGCAACGTGCTGGATCCCAGAGTGGATCCAGAACCACTAGCCGAGGCCGCTGCGTACATCTGGGTACCACCAGTGTTTCAATCACATGCAGTTTTGAACCATGTAGAACCTGGTTCTTCCCAATGTTCTGTCCGGGTGACCTTTTTGTTCTGTTGAGAAGTGCTCGACGAATTGCTCGGTTGAGGAAGCCCTTGGCGCTCTACATCTTCGCGCCGGCGCCCGTGGTCGACCACGTCATCGCCAGCACGTCCAGTGGTGCAGTGCTGGTGGGCGACACCAGCGTGCACAAGGGGAAACTCGTGTTGGACAAATCCGGCATCTGAGAGAATCGGTCCGGACGTTTTTCTTCGTGGGAGAGTTCGTGACGGTTGACTGGTGATATCTGGTGATCTGGTCTTTTGTTTGATGTTTTTGTTGGTCATTTTTTGTGCGTTTAGAGATACCCCCAAACGAGAACGAAGCTTGTGAAACCCAGGTCGTCTGGTCCGGACATTCAGGCCACTGGCGGGTTGATCTCAATTGAGCCACGTTTCCACACCTCAGCAGATTCACTGGGTCATGGACTGACCCAGCATGGGGGGTGGTCATTGGTCATGGTCGAGTCGAAGGTCCGTGGGGTTTGAAATCAGTCGAGTTGGTCGGCAGCTCGGTCGGAGTTGGTTGGCGGGATTCACCTTTGTTTAGGGCATCCATCACGAAAGGTTTCACCTCACAGAGTGATTTTCGAGCCAAAGGATCTGAATAGATCTGACACGATCGCCAGAACGGGATCCCAGATCCTTACGGGTGGCCCATCCTAGATTCTTAGCCTTATATATTCAACACTCTCAAGAGCACACCTCTGGCTCGAACTGAGTGCTACGAGTCCTTGTTTATCCTTTTTGAAGGCGGAGTTTCTCGAACAGCTTTCAATTCTCTTGAAACCTGCATGCTTTTTATGGCACATGGCACTAAGTATGGCATTAGCTATACTTTGAGGATCTTGGAGAAATTCGTGGCACTCCCTTGATTGCTTGGCCGAGGAACCCGGGCCTGCCCTTTGGAGGCCTGTTTGGGGTTGGGTTTCCTCGGGGATGCTTCACCGCAAACCCTCTGGCCTATGCGGCAAACCATCAAACCCGCGTCTTCGCATTCAAGTTTGCTTTTCATGTTTTTTTCCCCAAGCATTGTCCATGAGTCCTACCATCCTTTCTACGGCAATGGAAATGAATGAATCCCCAAGCATTTCTCATGGTTGTCCCATCAGATTCCATATGATTCCATCAGATTTGAAGGAACATCCCGTCGGGATGACCCGAGCCTGTCAGACCGGTCGAAGCCCAGATCGCCATCACTCCGTTTCAGCCGGTAACCGGCGCGAGCTCGGCCCCGGATTGGCGGCCAGGGATTGGCGGTTCGGGCACTGGGCGCTTGCATGGCATTTATGGCTTTGAGGAGTTCTCCAACATGAGATCAGAACCTTGGTGAAGAAATAGAGGATCATAGAGGGGTGGTAGGTTTACACCAACAAACATATGAACAAACTGTGGTTTTTGGTGCCTGAAATCAGGTGACTTGCCTGTTTAGTAGGATCCTACACTTCAAGGACTCCAAGGTGTGGCCAGAAATGGACCAAAGATCAAGATTCCTGTGGTCCACCACCAAGCATTGAAGATTCTCAACCATTGGCCGAGACTCCCAACTCAGTACTCCGGATGTATTTGGTATTTTTCGCCACTTCCCGGGTGCGATTCTGTTTCTAACCCGATGCCTACAGATCCAAGTGTATGCCGACATCGGCCCTGACATGACATGACATGCATCCACTTCCTGAGGTGATGCATCGGCCTCTGGCGGTGCCCTCGGCGATGCGCCTGCCGGTGGACACGGCCCTGGCGAAGGCCGCCTGGATGCCGCTCGGGCTCAGACCGAGCGAGCGAGTTAGGCCGAAGGTCGGGTGTTGGAAAGAGATGATGCACGTAGCACTGAGAATGTTTATAAATATGTTTATATATCCTAAAAATAGGTTGAGTTGAGTTGATGTGAGATTTTGGTGGAGGTTTGTGGATGTTCGGTTTGGTCCAAATGGGCACCGTGTAGCGTAACACGAGTAAACGGAATCATGTTTGGTCCAACAAGGGCCGATGTCGGTGAAAGAGTCTGCAGACGAGACACCACTGTCATCACTCACACTGACACTACTGTCCTGATGGGGGCCTATTTATGTAGAAGTATTTAGACGGTCAAGAGTCTCAGAGACATTTTGTCTTTCCCCAAAGGTGCAGGATGAAAGCTTCAGGAGGTCAAAGCATGTCACGGCTTTGCATAGGCTCTGGTAGAACACCTCTGGTACACCCAACCTCCTTCTGATTTAGAGGAAGGAGCAGCTTCGGCTTGTATTCTGAACTCAAGAAAGGAGGACTTATGGAAGGTGGGAAAGCTGCTGTTGCTAGAGACCATGGCTTGCCACTGTTGGAGCAATTGCGCTTTGGGATTTGATCAGTCAGTCTGAGGATGCAATTGCGACATCTCAATTGTCCAAGAGACATCTCCCATCCACTTCTTTCCTCGGTGGGACGGTAGACTGACTTAGGTACTCTGGCTTACATCCTCGCACGCTGAGAAGAGTCAGACGCTCGGCATTCCGCGGCATGCGCATCGTTCCGGATGGATGTTGGGAGATCCGAGAACAGATTTTGGAACCGATTCTTCTGCCTTGTTTGGTTTCCCAATTTTTGAGATGAGGGGAAAGCCTCTTTTCGAAAGATCATCCGGAGCACTATAATACTACTTTCCAAAGGGATCATGTCTTGATCACTCACCAAAGAAGCCCCTCCCTTTCCAACTAGTGGAATATATTTCGAAAGACCATATCCCTAGGATTCCTGGCCAAAAAATGGACAACATGGTTTGAACCCCCAAGAGCCATTGTTTTACGGATTTTACACAACACCAGGTCAACAATGGTCTTTGAAGGTGCCCTGGACATAAACCTATAACCATCTAACCATCTTAATTAGTTACACCATAGTTACCATTGGTGCTGCATAAGACCGCAACGAGAAATGACCCGATTTGAGAAAAATCCTGTATCGACCAGGGCCGTGGTTGCTCCGTTTGTTTTCGAGGAGGGTGTTTATTCTTTTTAAAGGTGGGATTCTCAATCTGACTTAATTAATATCCATTTGGAGCCCTGACCGATGGGCTATCAACCAAACATCGGAGACCACAAGGCTTCTCCGACGTGACAGGCCAAGTCGGCAGACTCTTCATGCTCCTCCTCGTGCTCTTTGTCTTTCGTCGCATCTTGCGCTGGAGAAGATGATACATGAGTCGACTGCGCGGTTGTTGCTTCAAAAAGTCAGGAGTTTCGAAACCAAAAAGATGGAAAACCTGAGCCTGCTTCGGTTGATCACGAGGCACCTGCCCTGATTGCTAAGTGCCTGCCCTCAGTTTTGAGGAAGCCCTACCCAAGAAGTGGCGGGGGAGTCACCTTGGCGACATTGGCTTTTGGCCGTGTGCCCCAAAAAGGCAAAATGCGCGCGTTTCTGGGAGGTGAGCCCAAAAGGGTGGAATGGCTGTGGTGAGGACAGTCTTCAGGATCAACAAGCTTGCAAAACCAACTCTGAGTGTATCCAAACCGCTTCCGCTTCCGAACCAGCATCTGCTTAAGGATTAAGGTTTACCCGGTACCAGGCTCTCATTTAGAGCTGCTAAAGGCCCCCAGGGTTCTTCGCCGGACCAGTGCGCATCCCTGCCGTCGTGGGCCGTACTCCTGGTCGAGTCTGGTGGCGAAACGCTCAGGTCCCGTGGGCGAAGGTGACGAAGCAGTGGCGCCGCGTGTCGCGGGGAGTGTGTGGCCATGGCGCGAAAAAAGACACCTCGCTTTCGGAGCACTGCGATGATGGGCGCTTCGGAAGCGAAGTCTGGATTTCTGATCGAATTCCGCAGTTTCCAGAAGACTGTTGATGAGTTGATGAGTTGATGGATCGAGGCGAGGTTGGTCGGGTTGGTGACCGATGCAGGTGCCAAAACCTGGAATGGAACCAGTCCGCGGCCAAGGGGCTGGGCTCCAAGGCGGGGCTCCAAAGCGCTTTGAGAAGCTGCTTTTCTTTGCAAATGCCTCAAGAATCCTCAAGAAGATTCAAGAATTGACTCATGAAGATCCAGGAAAGGGATCTCATTGCGATCTACACGTTTCACTGTAATGTAATTACCAGGACACCCATCGTGAACCGGGGGTTACCCTTTTCACCTGACCTATCTGGGACAAAGACAGGACCACGTCCTGTGCGTCACTTGCTCCGCCACGGCTTCCACCCCAGAAAGAGCTCCTGAAATCCCCAACCCCCCAACTGATTGGAATCATCATCAAGACCTAATCAGTTGGGGTTTGGACCCCACTGATCCCAAACCGAACCAAATACATGGCCCTTGGAATCATCATGGCTCGGTTGTGTGGTTTTTGCATGGCCCCAGAGACTCGGAGGAGACAGAAATCCATCCGAAGACATGGTGGTGCCATGAACACGCCGATTTCAAGGAGTTAAACCAACAGACAGCTTCGTTCCCAATTTTTTAGGGATCCGTTGTCGTACCGAACCTCAGGTTCGGTACGAGACCCTCAAAACCCACATCGTGTCTCCGTCCTCACCTGAGAAGGTCACTGGGATCCCTAGGGAATCGCTTCCGTTCGCTTCGCTTCCGTTCGCTTCGGCTCGCGTTGTCGCAGCCACCGTTCACCCCCTGGCGGGGGAACCTGTGCCAGGCGAGCTTCTTAAGTCTGGTGGACCGATGCACCATAGCACAGCTGGGACAACGCTTGTTTGGTCAGGAGATTGAGGCCGTCCAACACGGACATCCCACGTGGCGCGGTTCGGGTTCGGTAGCAGGGTAGGTAAGGGTAGGTAGGGCTGATGTGTAGGGCTGATGTGTAGGGCGGTTGGGTGGTTTGTTTGGTTTGGGTGTTAGAGTTGAAACGGCAAGAGATGGAAGACATCCTGTAACGCCGAGAAACCATACGTGGTAAATACATGTAAATACATGCGGGGTGTCCAAGTGGTGTGGGATTTCTTCCATGAACAATTGTCTCCACTTCCTGTGGGCGTCCACTACGCTTTCTCAGAGACTGGTTCCTGAGTTTTTGAATGTAGAGATTGGATTTATGAGGTATATGTTAGACCTATATATTAGACCTGCGTGAGTACCTTCGTGGGCACTTGATGGTTGTTGTTTTTTTTCTTTGCATGATTGTAGTTCTACCTTCAGATCTGGTATTCGACATCGAATGCATGATGATTTAGCGCCCCGCGTACCCACCCGCTTAAACGTGGCGGGTACCTTGATAAAGGCAAACTCATGTTGGCCCACTTTTGGCGGAAGGGTTGGGTCTATCCTGTTACCTGCAGCAGTCGGTAAACAAGTACATCTGATCATTATTTTGGAGAAAGGCCTTCAACCTAACCATCATCATCCACTGTTACTGGTAATTTACCCAACAGAAGGGTGTGTAGCTCAAATATAGGGAGACCTCCCAACGACTCCAAGGTTCGGAAAAAGGAATAAAGTCTACCCTATTGGGCCAAGGATTCTCCCGATCGCACACCCAGATGTTGCTTTTGGGTTGCAACATGTTGTGATCAAATGCTTGATAGGAGACATGCCGTGTGGAGAACACGGATTCTCCCTATCAAACGCGATAGAACATCTTGCTTTTGGGTTGCCATTTATAAAAACTGGGAGACATGTTATGATTCTTGTGCACTCAGCTCCGAGCTCTGGCGCAGTGAGGGCGTTGCCCAGTCAGGTGTGGCCCTGGGCGTTGGGGGCCCACCCAACAGACTCCATGACTCAGCGAACCGCACCTGCCTCCAAGCTGGTGGTTGCGGACTCCATGGACTCTAAGTCGTTGCCCCACTTCTTCCCGTTTAAAAAAGGGCAGAAAACATACAAAAGAACACCCAAAATCATTCCCACGCCTCGTGACGTTGGCATTGTCCTTTTGCTTCACGATCCCTATATCCTATCTCTTGACGACTCCTCCCTTGCCATATCCCCTCTGACCATGCGGCCGTAGGCCCTTAGTGATGCCCATCGCGCGTGGGGGGCCCTGAAGGCTGCTCTCCAGGAGATTGGAGGACGATGGCATTTGGGGCAGCATTTCTTGTTTTTGAGGGGGATGATGAAATGGAAATAAGGTCGAGGACTGTTGTTTTGGTTTGTTCATGTTTTTGCCACCCGAATTTGGAAGGCCACGCCCAGTTCTGTCTTTTGCGGTTTTGGGCACTGTTTATTTTATTCAGAGCGCTGCCTGAGGCTGCTCTTGCGGCACATCGTGTTGATCTACGGAGCTGCACGAAGCCTGGCGAGTGATGCAGGTGCCAACCAACCCACCGCTGTGGTTTGCTCGGAGGGTGGGAGAGGCGAAACAATTTACATTTGGAACAGAAGGATTTGGTCTTAGTATGTCGTTGGAGTCACAAGGCATTGGAGAGATCAGAGATCTCAATTGTTCGAAGACAACAGTCGCAACCGTTGACATTGAACACAAACACAAAAGGAACAATCTCGTACAACATGACGGGAGGCACTTGCTGACGCTTTCAGACGGGATCACTTTTAGACAACTCATTTGAAGACACTTCGCCAGCCTTGGTACTGGCCTCGACAGCAGCTGCTTCTGTGGCCCTGAGAGCCCAATATCTTCTGAACGTTTGCAGATGGGACATAGCGAGGAGACTTTTTTGCGGGAACATGCTGGAACATGCGCAGCAGACGGGAATCAGAGATTGTCTGGTCCTAACGAAGCCAGGACGTTTAGAAGTGCAACGGAGAAGGATCAAGTTATCAACTCCCTGGACAGGGGCGTTTCAAACCAGCCCGAGGCGGTGTGCAAGTGATGAAATCGATGACCGAGCACAGCTGGGATCAATTAGGATCAACGGGGTGTGGGTGTTGGGGCCTGTCTTCAATCAACCGCCCAACTCCGTCTGCAGATGTTAGAAGCAAGAAGCATGAACAACGCCCTAAGGCCTAGCTGTTTGGGGAGTTCCCTCTTCCAAATCAAGTCACTCACAGGCGCTACCGTCTTCACCTCCCTTTTCCGTGCTCCGCTTTCCGGCGGCGTTCCGCCGGCGGAACTCATGGACTTCTTCCCGGAGGTCGAAGGGGACCTGCCGCGCGAGCAGCTGGTGCTCTTGGTGCGCCATGCTGAGAGCCGCTGGAACCGTGCTCAGGCTCCAGAACACGGGAAACGCGAGACCAGGAGGAGTCACAATGGCACTGCCCATGTCGTGGGAAAGGTATATCTATTTTTTTTGGATTTGGGATGAGCTTACTGGGCACATCTGGGCACTGACCTTCCCCTCCATAACAACATATAACAACCCACAAAAGGAGCGAACCAGTGCAGTTACAACTTGCCGGACTCGCAACGTACAGTGGTTTCAGAGTAGATGGCACAGACCAAAACCGATGTCCTTTACATGGGGGTTCATATAAACCACCATTCATATATAAACCACCTCTTGGGGTCTGTGCCATTGGTCCTCTCAATCCACTATAACAACCAAATACGTCCACCCCGCCGGACCCCCCGTCGCGTCGGTGATTTCCAGGCACTGAATCGTCACGGACGGCGGGCTGGACGCGGCATGTAGGAGCTCAGAGAGACCTCCCTGACCTGGCGTTCCAACCTGGAAGAAGGGAGAAACAGAGCAACTAAACATCGGGCCATGTGAAGGGCTCTCCTGGAGTTCAAATAGCAAGGAGGGTGTCCCGGATTCCTCGAACTCCGTTGCCACTTGGACGGCGTAGTCTTCTGCAGGCGGCGATGTCGCCGCTTGGGATGCTTTGGGAGAATGTGAGGAGCTGAGAGGAGTGTAGATGAGGAACAGCGGTGTGTATCAGGGACAAGCATGGACAACCCTCGGATCTGAGAGGAGGATCAGCAGGCTCCAATGGCTTTTTCACCGAAGAAGACCTGTCACAAGACCGAGTCACAACCGGTTCCTCTCTTTCTCCACCGCGGAATGCCTGGAATCCAGATTCTGCACCGATGGATGTCCCAGGACCATGGCCTCTCAGAGGCGACGACCACGGCGGACGCGTGTGACGACCGTGCGGTTCGTGGGAAAGCGGTGTTCACCGTTGAAAGAGTGCGAGAACCAGCAGAGCAAGTGCCTGGGAGGTAGTAGTAGTTCTGGTGCTGCTGTTGGTATGTCTTTTTGATTTAACATTCACAGCAGGCAACAGTGACCCCTTGGTATGAGGATTTGAGTCGAAAGTGGTTAAGGAATTGATTTAGCTGTTGCTTCAACATGCTTGCCTTTTCCGAGACTAGGCGGACTATGCGGTCTTAATAAGAACATCAAGTAATTCATATCCACTTAAAAGGTGGGACTCGGCCGAAAGATAGGACTCTCAGGTCCTCCTGCCTTTCTGATTGTTTTTTCATTTCCGGCACTGACCATCACTGTCCAGAGCAAAACAGACCAACCCGACGGTTTCAAACACTGCGCTTGGGGCCTCGTCTCAGACTCATGTACTGACCGTCTCAACTGAGTCAAGAGATACCATAATATAGTTTTTCAATGTTTATCATATTTTTTCTCAACACCAACCATCTACCGGTTCCCATCTACCTGGTGGATTGGACCCAAAAGGATCCTTTTGGTGCCGAAGCTGAGCACCTCAAACCGCGAGCCCTTCCTCAGCCAGGAGGGACGGCGCCAGGCGGAAGAGCTGCGCCGAAAGCTTCACGAGGCGAAGGCGGGTCTCCGGCGGAGAGACCGGGCTGAGACCGGGGGTGGGGTCCGCGGGGTGTTTGGCTCTTGGAGGGTTTTGGATTCTGGATGGTTTTTGGGGATGGCTTTTCGGAGACGGCGCTGTTTCGGAGTCAACTCGGGTGAGACCTGAATTCGAAGCTGTGAAGGACCAAGATTTTCGTGGTGAGGATTCTGGTGATTTGTGTGCGTACTGGGATCGCTGCCGGATCTGCCAGGTTCAGGACCCGACCGCGGACCCTGCAGAGGTGCGTGAGAACGTGGGGTTCAGAGCTCGGAGTGTGGAGAAGAGCTCGGCACACTCCGACTAACATGGAAGTGGATGGCACCACCTGTTTGGTCTTCGGACAATGGTCCATCCTCTTGGGGCCATGCCATCCATGTACTCATGATGGTTTCAGGGAGTGTAATCCCCAGAACCTGTCGTGAGTCTGGATCTTTTTGTTCTGGTCAAGCTATTTTTGCCAAAATTCGCACCATGCAAGGGAATGTCGCAACCAGAGGTTTTGCAGTCGATCTGAGGATGGGGCTATAAAATGCTATAAGTAGACACCCAAGTTGACCTCCAGTCTCAGCCATCCTGACATATCCTGACATTCTGTCTCTAAATCTCTTTGTTTGCTTGTTTTGTTTTGTTTGTTCGTTTGGTTGGTTGGGTGGTTGCTTGCTTGCTTATTTGGTTGGTTGGTTGGTTGGTATTTGTTTATTTGTTTACCCCTAGGCTTCATCGACTATTATATAATATTTGAATAGCCTTCCTGGAAAGCATGCGTTTTTTTGCAAAACAAGGACTATTTTCTTGCCTGCTATTCCTTGCCTCCAGCCCAGCTCAAGAACCGTAGACAAACCGTAGATAAACCTAGGGACATTTTTTGGCATACGTTTTTTGCCGTGGAAGAGGCATGGAACCTGGCCTCACAAAGCGTGTATGAACAACCCGATCACGCGTCAATCGAGAGGAAGTGGATTTTACACAAAAAAACGCTTTTCCGCAAAAAAGACGCTGCAACAAACGCACGTTTTAAAAACTTGCCTTTGAATCATTGGGTTATATACTGCTTTTTCGTGTTGTGTTGTTTGTTGTTCTTGTCTTCCTCTCTTTTCGTGGCTCCCTGGTCATCTGTGAAGTGCTCACATGAAAGACCTGGTCGTGTGGCCTTCGACGCTTCCTGGTCGAGACGGGCTTAGCTTGATGTTTTTTGACATCTGAGATGCCCAGTTAGCTCAATTCGAGACGTGTACAGTTGATAGTAGAACCATGTAGAACATATGAATTTACAATAATTTACATGAATGTAGTAGAGCCAGACTTTTTAGTCTTTGGCAGTTTTTGAGACTTTGAGAGTGTTAGCGATACAATTCGGGTCGATTCCCCATCCCTTTGATTCCAGAAGCACGAAACCAGGGCCGCTTCCATCGAAACCACCGGACCTGAGCGCTTTACGACTGGACTCGCGGTGAGTGACCAGGCCTGGTGGGTCTCAAAGCTCTTGAGCTGCGTGGCTGTTAGTTGGGATGAGGGGATGACTGAGATGCCTCTTCAGAATTGATGGCTCAAATACCAAAGACTATGTTTGATGACAAACCCTATAAAAGTCACCACTCGGGAATTAAGCCAAGTCTTGAGGCCGGTATCGTTGCGTTCCTGGTGAAGTTTTGGAGTGTGCGGCTGAACGCTGCCGTGCGGCTGAACGCTGCCGTGCGGCTCCACTTCCTCCACAGCACCAGATCTCAGTCATGGCACCCGATTTGGACATAACTGTGAGCACTCGCACTGACAAGCCATCCAAAGGCGACCACAGCCATCCGTACGACATCGCGCGGATCCGGTTCAAGTCCGGTCCGGTCCAGGGTCACGGTCGGGATTCCGTTCCAGGTCGATTCCAGAGTCGAAACGTTCGATTCGATCCTGGTCGACGGAATCGAACGTATATCGAACCGCTTTTGTCTCTCATGCACCGGCATGGTTTTTCTCAGAATAGAACTCCTGGTTTCAAGTTGGAACCCACCGTTGCTTTGAACCTCAGCTGGGACACCGGCAGCGTTTGGGAGTCTGGTGTAGGGGTGATTGGGATCCGTGGCGCGGTCCTACGCGGTCCCACCTGAGGTCCTGATGTCGTCTTCAGCTCGTTGGGGAATCCCCAGAACAGGGAAACGACGGTAGGTGGTTTCGGAGATGTCTATTTGCAAGCTTACTTGGGATGATTGGTCACCTGACTCATATTTGGTCTCGAGTTGAAACCACCTGGCCGAAAGAATATGACATCATGCACAAGAGAATGGGATGGACGGTGATTTCGAACGTCCGAAAGCACGCAGCTGAGAAACTCAGACTGAGCATGGTGGTGCATGGAGCGCCGGAATCAGGTGTGTGTGATGGACAGTGACGGCGTTTCACGGTGCGACCTGATCCAAGACCATAGATGATCCCGGAGTGGAAGATCATGGAAGATCTGCAGACGTTTTGGATACTTCCACTCCTTTTCCCATACGTTTCTGGGTGAAGATTTGGATACAGGAAGATCATACGACCCTCCTTTTTCACCCAGAAACATGCCCAAGGCCCAAGGCCAGCTTCCACTGACCCAGGCCTTTCACGCGCGCCCTGCAGACGGCCAGCATCGCGTTGCAGGAAACAGCGAAACGGTTAAACTGGGCCCGGCCCATCCATGGAGTGGACGGAAGTGGAAGGTGGAAGGAAGATGAAGGAATTGGAACCTTTATAGTTCGGTGCTAAAAAAGGAAGATCCTCTCTCCGGCCCTGATTTTCACCTCCACTTGGAATGTGGGACGTCAGAGTGAGCAGCTATTTGTTGGATCCTTGTTAAGCTCATGTGGCACAAATTCACTGAATGAAGGAAATCGGTGGATTTCTTGAGAAGGTGTTCGCCGACACGGGCTGCGGCGGTCGAGACCGGAGATGGTGAGCTTTGTTCAGAGTCGCAGCTCATTGGGCCTTTTGAAAAGCAACAGAACCCTAATCAATACAAAACATCGCAGTCAGCCGGGTGGCATGCATTGGACATGGGAAGATCCATGACCACATCGGTTTACCTGGGTGTCTCCCCATATTTCACGGTTCATATTATTGATCCAAACTAGTCCATCTACTCCAGACTTTGGTCATCCGCACATTGGGACCAGACACTTCCAGGCTCTCCGCGCTTCCACAGGCCTTTTTTGCCCAAACCAACTGTATAAAGAGTGAAGTCCGCCAGTGCTTTGAGGACGAGAATGAGAAGCCTCCTCAGCCACTGGATGGTCAGCCAGTCGAGTCGAAACAGAGTTCGTTCACCCGAAAACCGACGGATTCCGGGTGGAACATGTCACGCCAAAATCCTGAGGGACAGAAATGAGGACACTCAGGAAATGTAAGGAACCTGGAGTCTTCCTGGGCCAGTCTAGCAGTCGTTGTGGGTCTTGGTGGCTTGATATCTCCTTTGGCCACCAGGAAATGCTCCAAATTCCTTGCAAGCAGGGTACTTTTGGGTTGAATAAAGCGAAGTCTGGATTCCACAAACATCTCGCGGTCCACGACATCCGCCCCTCAAAGCCCTTCCACTCCGTGTGGTGCCTGAGGGAGTAACTAGGTTACATGGTAAATGAGACAGAACGTGCACACAGAAGCACCCTCACCCCAACACCGGCTTAATCCGGTTTAAGCCACAGATTTAGGCTTCAAGCGGGATATCATCTAGTGATTAGTGATGACTTCTTGACTTCTTCAGTCGAATGAGTTTCTTAAGGTAAAGGGTATGGCATGCGCGAAAACGTAGATCAACTGGGAGATCATCAAACACTTGCGCATACTCGGAAACCGGTTTGAGTGGGAGGCGAACATTTAATGGATATGGCTGGCCGGGCTGAGAAGAGTATTGGTTCAACATCTGAAGAAAGCAGCATCTGCGTGATCATGTCGTGAAATACCTCCCACAAGGCTGCGATGAAAGCCCAAACAAATTAAGGATGAAGCTCCAGTCTTCTTACACCGGGGATACAGATACAGTCTGTACGACATAGTGTTCTCTAGGTAGCGAACAACACCCCGGCATATGTGGATGCTTAATGACATCAAACTATGGCCTTCTGGGTGGCTGGGTGGCTTGAGCCTCTGGAGAGTCAGAAGCACCACTGCCCACGGCCCACGAGGCATCCTCGTACCAACCATTGTTGGTGCCACATGCCTTAGCAACGCGATTCCTGCTGGCGAACGGCAACACTTGGTCGCTGGGCGAACGCGGCCGAGTTCCGCAGTCGTCGGAGTGCGATGAGTCGTGGGTGGCGAAGCGGCTGTGGCTGGGCAGGTCGCCTGCAGTGCGTATGCTGCTTGTTCTTTGGTCCTGAAAGTTCCTGCCTGGAGACCTTCCAGAGTTTCATGGAAAACAGCTGACAGGGGTGACTCAACTGTGGAAGACACCAGGTACAATTCCATTGGCATAGCAAGACAGGTGTCCAAGACGTCTCTCCCTTTCATTCAAGCTAACATCATACTTGTAACCTCAACTTCAAGGTGCTCCTACCAATGGGTACGGTCCTAAGTACCCGTGCTTCACTCGGGTCGTGTCCCGACGTGTCTGGTGGCTCCCGGTCCGTAGCACAGTCCGGTCGGCAGGACCAGGGTTGGGTGGCCTTCTTCAGGTAGGGGTGAAGAAGGCCCTCTTCGGTCCAGCATTGGCGTTGGGCCCCTGAAGAGCAGCCCAGCATTGCACTGGAATTGGCTCGGTGATTTGTCTTGTTGGGCTCCCATATATAGGCAGGCATGGCTTTGGTGAGCAGACGTGGTGGCCTTCTAGGTATGAACCATGAAAGCAGAGAGCCCATCACCAACTCACCCGGCTCTTGATGTGTGTGAAAGGCACGAGTCGGCGCGAGGGCACGCGGTCGGTTTGTCCCGTTGCCCGGACCATCCGGGACCCCCCATCGGTTTGGATCCAAAAGATCATAATGGAGCATAATGGAGCTATATCATGGCATCATGCCATTTCGAAATGGGACACGTGCGTACACGTGAATGTGTGGATGGCGAGGGCCACGAGTAGGTGGTGATGCCAGAGGGTGGTTGCCTAACTTAAGAAACTCCCACCAAAATGACCTTGGGTGCATTTAGTAGTAGAATTCAGATGCAACTTGGAGACAAAAGGAACCTATATTGAGGGGTGTCCGACATGTTACTGTACAGTAGTATTTTTCCCCGACATGTTAAACATTGGGCAGTATTTTTATCCAAAACACTTTGCTGTTGGGTTCTCTCTTCGATAGCCGTGGCTGAGCCGTTCGCCTTTTCTTAACCACTTTGTTTGGGCCTTGTCCGGGTCTGTGTGTCCTGCTTGTTTGCGTATCACCGCCTTGTTGCCTTGTCCCTGCTTGGCAGTGCCGTTGTCCCCTTTTTCCTCAGCCTTGTCCGGGTTTGTTTTCTTGGCTATGCATGCAACAGTGATGCAGCGTTTCAATCTTGATATCATCCTCTTCTCTTCATTCCTCTTCCAACAAACATGTTGTTTACATGCTGTTCCCCCAAAAGCTGGAGGCTACAGGAAGATATTTGCACATGTTTCCACCTGGAATTGGAATGGAAGTGACGCAAAACATCTTCCTGCTTTACATGGTTTGGGGTCACCCGTCTATGCTGTGGATAGGTACTCGGGACGACTCGGGATTCGCGTAGACCTAAGATTCGTGCTGTTTGTGTGTGTGTGTGTGCCGAAATACACACGCAAACATGTACTGACCTACATGTAGTATACAGTTTTTCTAATGTTGGGCTGCAAAGGTTCATTGCTCTTAGAGGCTCTTTCCCAATGATACCTTCAATGTTTCCTTCGCGATGCTGCCGTTCTCGGGCCATCCGTCGTCTAGTTGGAAGGTGACCCATCGTCAAGCCAGCCGGCGTCGACTTCGGTCGCTCGACTCATGGCTGCCAAGGAGAATTCCAAAGGGCAGTCGTATCCCATTGGAATTTGGATTCCTGATTGGGCGGCCGGTTATGCAGCAAACGCCCTTGTGGCAATCCTTTTGGAGGAGACGGAGACTTCGACGTTTTGTGAATATGGTGACGTGCTTTTCTGACCATCCGACGTGTGTTTCTGGGGTCAAGGAGCTGCTACTTGTATCGCGTGTATCGCTGTAGTCGTTGATCTTGGGACATGGAGCAGTGCTCTTGGATAGGTGCGTTGTTGTACAGGTGCAGCTGGTGATTCGTCGCATGTTCATGCATGTTCTGGGAGGAGTTTGTTGCTCACTTAGATGGCTGTTAGAATGCTTTCAAGAACGGCTTTCTTTTTGATGCTCTCCAAAAGACTCTTGTCTCAATCCGAAGTGAGCAGTGCAGTGCTTTTCCAGCTCGGCCGGTTTGAAGTTCCGACTTCCGACTTCCAAGGTCTTTTGAGGATGCACACAAAAAACAAGGATTTTTGAGGTATACTTTCAGAATCGCCAATGTAACACTGAATGATGGGTCTTGGTTTGCAACCGGACAGGCGGACTGGGACACCGTTGTGGGAGGCTCCAGGACATATTCCAACAGAACATCCTCTTTTCAATGCAGCATCTCAATGTTGTTTTTGTGGTCAAAGAATTGAGTCAAGTTTCAGTTCATGAAGTGATTTCATTCACATTTGATTGGCTCTCACTGCATCGGCGAAGATTTTGTAGAGTCTTACTGGACAGCTGTGCTGTCCCTGTTGACAGTCTCAAAGCCAACCCTAACCTCCTTCGACATTGCCAGGAGGTCTTCGGTTTTAACACCACCGAGGCCTGTGTGCACCCTTTCTTGCGGACGCCGCAGTGTTCTCGTTCTCGCGGAGGATCTTTGAGCGGTAACTTCTTCAACCCGACCTAGAAAGGTGAATGAGCTTCCTTGAGAGTGACCCTCTACGGTGGTATATGGTGGTCACCCTCCCTCACCTAGCCAGGACGGCCAGGCTACCTGTGCCGACGGACGTTGGCGTGCCGTGCCGGCAGGCTGTTGGGTCCGGCACTCCAAGTGCCTTCTATGCCACCAGCGCGTGTGCCGATCCCAACAACCTCGAGGAGCCGCAGTGCGGCAATGATCAGGTGGGGAACGCCTTGAAGTCTGGGATGAATAGGTAGAGGTCTCCATGGGAACAGCAAAACACATACTGTAACCGTAACCTTCAGCAGATCTAGGGCGGTGCCGGTGTACAAATTTGATGTACTGCAACTGTACAAGAACAGTATCCTTTTGAAGTATTCGTTGCATCTTGCTTCTTGCTACCGTTGATTTAGCGCTCGTCTGAAGCTTCCTAATGGCAGTCTGTGCGTAGCTCACAGGATTGTGAGGTTGTCAGTGGTAACTTGCCTGTTTTTTTACGAGCGTCGCAAGCAGAAATGGGTGCAGAGACGTATGTCCACATAAACAACACGGTTCTGGAGCGTGAAGGCTGCTTTATCAATCTATAATTGTGCCTCTAATGATTGGATGCATTTTGAGGCGCGCTCCTATCGCTCTGTCCATGTGTTTGAGGATGAACGGACCCATTTATATCATGGACAGTCGAAGCGGTGAGCACGGCTCACGAGCATTGCCGCACCGAAGTGGCGATCAAACTGCCGGTTCAAGCCGTTGCGGCCTATCGTTACCTAGGAGGCCTCGCAAGGTCTGCCTTGCGAATGCCTTTGCCGCACGAGAAAGAGGTCACCAGCTCGCGCAAGTGGTGCCTCACCGCGCACACGCACATGTATACGCAACAGTTCGTCCATTGATTAGATCTTCACTCAAGCAATTAGACCTATCTTCAGTGTCAAAATTGTGTGAACTTCTTGGAGTGTAACAAGTGTCTAAGGTGCCAAAGACATCCATCGGCCGGACTAGGTTTCGCTCAACTGTGTCAATTGTGCACAGATTCGTTGTGTTGACGACCTGTCATTTCGTTCAGAGTCGATTTTGCATGCTTCAGGTGGCACGATATCATGTAACCTTGGATTGCTTGATTGATTTTCATTATTTATGTTTCACTTGGCATCCACTACAGATTGGATGAATGAAAAGCATCCATGGGAAGCTGTCTCCCCCCAAACTAGTACAGATTCAGTAGTTCATTGATGTTCTTTCGGGATCCTTCCCTTAAATCCACTGAACTACGCCACCAGCTGCCAGAGTCAGTTGACGCGTGCCCCCAGCTTTCCGTTCCAGCCTTCCAAGGTCAGCCTTGAGTCATGGACGTCCTACAACCCAGCTCTTTGGACAACGCTTCACGAGCAATACCCTACAGTGGCCAGCAAAAACCTGGGCAACATGGGATATGAAGGACCCCGATGTTTCGGATCAAACAAGGGGTGGACCAGCTAATACCATGGATTCCCGAATGCTTAATACGTCTCAATACCATGGAGCAGAACATATTTGCCACCTTAGGCCATAGATTTTGCTTGAAACGCTTGGAATGGATGGGTTAACGGTTGCTACAAGTGGGTCAGCAAGGATTTTCGCCCCAGGCACTGCCCAACCCGAGCAGATGCTGGATGTTTGATCGCGCATATGTTTGGTGACTGAGCACTACCCAAAGAAAGGGTCGATAACTAATTACGTTCGAGGTTTTCACATGTTCATCGACCCGAACCATACAGTCGGCGTGTTGTTTGGTCCGTTGCCACAACATTGCAAACAGATTTTGTTCACAGATGTGACATTGGAATTCTCATTTCGCCCTCCAGGAGTCATTTCAACCTTCGTACCGACCTTGGACATCAAGAAGGCATATCAGAGTGAAGGCTTGAACTTGTTGTACTTCCGCAACTGGTGCCTTGGAGAGTGGAGATGTCAACCTGGACCGGACCGGACCGCGGAACAGTGGGACAGGGCGCGACGAGAGTCGCGAACATCCAAAGGCCAAGCAGTAGACATGAGGCCGAGAGAAAGAGGTCGTGGGAGGGCCGATCAATGATCCGAACTGCATCACTTGCGTGACGTGATCCCAGTGATCCCGCACGAGTGCCCCGTGGCCCACACGGGCAACGAGTGCCCCGTTTGGCACGGCGTGGCGCCACCATTTGGACGTACCGATCCGGTGGACGCTGCGTGCGCATCCGCTGCGAGCGCGTTTTGGTTCATGCGAGTGACAGGCAGTTCTTAAGCCTTTCGGTGTTGGGAAGCAATGGGCACCTTGATCACTTCCCGCCCATTCTTGGCCCCACAAAAAAGCCCCCCAAACCTGCAGAAGCTTTCTTTTGGGGGCGAGGCACGATTTTTAAGTTGGCCCATTCTTGGCCAACTTCCTTCGGCAGAACTTGGATGTGAGGAATGCTTCATGGTATAAGCCCTACAAGTACTTTGACTCGCTCTCGATGATCAATGCCTCAAAAGTGGTGAAATTATGCAGTGACAAGACCAATTTCTTGTCGCATGATTCCATTATGCAGCGCCATGTGAAGTGGACTGGAGATGCCGATGGGGTCTTGATCAACAACGGTGTCTATGCTGGACACTTGGCGGATCTTGCAGATCCCGGACCAAAGATGAAAGCCCCAAAAGGAAAAGATCAGCATATTGAAATCCCCGTCCATCGTTGGATTCTGTTTTTGGATCCTTACACATTTTCCCTCCAAGGACACTCCCAGTGGTTGAAGCCGCCAAACCATCCCCTTCTGTGCATCATCAGATTGGGAGAACCAAAGTTGTCCCTAGAGTCCTTAAATAGCACTAACGTTTCCTCTTGTTGCCTAGAAGTACCACAAAAATCCATAAACATCCTACAGCTTTGTGATAGAAGCATGTGCATGTGATAGCTATCTTGAAACAACTGGGTTTGATGACTTGTGGCTTGCGCCATCAGTCGCTGGTCTTCCCCCACTGAGCAATAGCCAAACAGAAACATCAGAGCTTCGACCCAAAATCAGAGACCCGGTGGACACGTGTTATGCACTGATGAGATCGGCGGCCGGTCGCCAGGAAGATGTGACGATGGATATTGGTGGACGGCTCCTTCCTGCCGATCGAACACGACAGAATGCGTCCCATGGGTCACGGGTGGCTTCGGCTGGGGAATCGAGGAATACATGCAAAAGAGCACGATCTTCCAGATCCCGATGGCCATTGGGGTGGCACTTTCATGGGCGACCTACACAGAGTTTCCATTTTGGCATCCCAAGTCGCACTTCTATTGGTGGATTCCGGATCCCACCTTTCTGGAGCTTCAGCCGCTTCAGATGATTTTTCCACCGCATGACCGAATCGCCTACAGCAAAGGTGACTTGACCGGAATCAATGAATCAGTGAAGGGATCAGCTACCCCGATATCTTCACCAGCCCAGATATCGGGGCCCCAACGGGGCCCCAAGACCAAGTCCTCAGCTTCCGGCATCATCCAAATCCTGTGATTTCTCCGTATTTCCCAGCATCCGATAGTGAGGTGTTTGCGTCTGACCACATCAAGCAAAGTGGAAGTTCGGGCGTACAAGACAGGGGATCGTTCGAGCTGCAGCTCCGTTTCCTTTCGTAGGTTGAATTGTTCTGTTCATTTTGGATCCCCCTTGCACAGGTCCTTATGAAATGGGGATCCTGGTGACCTATAAAATCATTTTTCCAGGACTCACTTCATAAAAAGCACAATGTTTCCGGAAATCGGAATTTTGAACAAACAGCCTATGCATCTTGTCTCGTCATTTCATAAAGAGGTCGGTTTGGCTCCTGTGTACATTTTATAAACAGTGATTTGTTCTTAACATAGAGACAGCTGGATGTTGGTTGCTCATTCTATAAACAAGTAATGGTGTGAGAGAATAGAACCATTTTATGATTAAAGGTTTATAAAATGGGTTTTGACATGTTTGCCAATGGATTTAATAGTCCTTGGCAGGGGAAAGCTATTTTATAAACCATTCCCTCTGCCAAAGAGCTGGAGGGTGTGGACAAATACGATGGGCTTTGGGAGGTGAACATGTTTATAAAATGGGTTTAC